CCCCCCCGGGGCCTCTTCCAAGGGAGCCCTGAGGAAAGGGCCAGCTGTGCCTCAGGCACCCAAGGCCCCGCTCTGGCTGGGCCAGCCTTCCTCCCCGATGAGCCCATTCCCCTTTCCCCTCGGTCAGTCTCGGGGGCCGTGGGGAGTGATGAGTGGGGAGTCTTCCCTTCTCCCTGGGCTGCTGGTCCGGCTGCCTTGGCTCTTGATGGACCTTCCCTCCTCCTGCCCTTCCCCTGAGCGGCTCCAGCCTTTGGCTTCCAGGGTGGATTGACAACCAGGGCTGGGGAGCTGAGCTTGCAGGCCCCCCCTTGCCCCGGGCTCCCCTCCCCCGCTTCACCAGGCGCTCCAGTGGAAGGGGGGGGGGCAACAGTTGGCCCTTTAACAAGCTTCGGTTCTCCTCACCCAGCGGTAACAACGCCGTGACGGTTGAGACGGTTCCTCTGACAAGTGAAGCCGCACTCCAGATCCCTCCACGTTCTTCTGCTGCGGCTGCCACATTGGAGGCCGAGAGGGATGGCAGGTGAGGGCAGAAGCGAGTACTGGTTAAAGCCGGGCGCTTGGCTGCTTTCCGGCTGTCCCCAGGGATGGAGGCCAGCCCCTCTTCTGAGTGGGGCTCTGCTCTTTCGGTTACAGGCGGGGCAGGGCAAGGAGTCCCCGTTCAATTCCAGCACTTCTCTCTCTCCCTCCCTCCCTCCCTCCCCCTCGTGAGCTTTAATTTTGATAGTCCATTTCTCTCCAAAGGAGTTTGTTCATCTTTGATACCAAGATGAGTTTGAACGCTCTTTGCCAGCCCCCAGACCAGATCTCCCTTCTGGAGGGACCCTCGTGTGCTCCAGCCATCGGCTATCAGAGGCCGGTTTTGCACGGCAGTGTAAACAAAAGAGGCCTTTCCCTCCAGAGGCCCCTCCCTTTCAGCCACACTTGCAAAGCCTTCCTATTTGAAGCCTTGGCTGTGCGTGGCAAAAGCTCCCCCCCCCCCCCCGGCCCAGAGAGCTTTCAAAGCTGAAAAGGCACTGGGTGAAAAGGCAAAAGGGAGCTTGTAGGCTTGAGGACCCCCAGGGTTTTTCTATCTCAGAGGCAGCAAGAAAGAAAGGAAAAACTCCAAGGTGACTGGAGAGGGGGGGGGGAGTTGGGGAAGGCTGGAGTCCACGAGGCTCCCCTTGGCAACTCAGGGCACGTCAGAAGGACTCAGGACTCCAGCAGCTGTGGGAATCGGGGCTTCTGCTGCTGCTGCCGCCGCTGCTCCTCTCGGAGGTCCCTGGGGGGAACGGCAGCCTCCGCATCCCAGGCTCTTCCAGGGAGAGTTTGGGCAGCTTTGATCTCGCAGGCTGCCACCTGTTGGGTTGCAATGGCTCTGGAGCTGGCACAGAGCCTGCCCTCACTGGAGGCCGAGGGTCTTCCTGTCACCTTCCATCTGCATCGGAGTAAGCGGTGGGTCAAGCCCATTCCCTTCCCTCCGGGAGCTGTCCCTGTGGCCTCTTCGGACAGGCCCCCGGGGGAGGCCCCGAGTCCTTCCCCAGGGGCCGGCAGCCTTGTGAATTCCAGTGCTGACCCTGAGAGGCCCAGGGGGCTTCTGGCTCTGGCAAGGCCCTGGCGGTCAGGAGACGGGAAGCTTCTCAGGGTGGTCCGGTTCCACACCTGGGCATCCCTGGGAGCGAGAGAGGCCCTCCCTGAGCTGAAGGCTGGAGTGGTGGCCGGGTGTGAATTTCAGGCAGGGCTCTGTCCGCCTCCCCCCCCAGAGGGTCAGTGCCTGGTGTGGCTTCTGCGTCAAGCTTGTGTTTCGCTGCACGTGAGAAAGTTGTGGTGTTGTCTTGGATCAAAGAGTTGGGTCTGCAGGAAGAGAAACAGCCTGGCCAAAGAATCGCTCGTTCGGAAGCGTTGGGTCTTAGCCAGGGGACCGTTTCCGAGGAGAGGAGAGGAGGGGAGGCTTGGTCTGGGCCATCAGTCCTGATCTCCAGAGGCTCGGTGGCTGCCCCTGCCGGCCCAGAAAAGACCTGGGCGTCCCCATCCTGGTTCTGGCCGGCTGGCTTCATCCGTTCGTTCTCAAGGCACCCAGAAAACCAGCTCCCCCTTCCCTTCTTCCAGGAGGCTCCAGGATGATTTAGACTGATGGAGGAGAGCCACCTTGGCAACAACTGTTAACCTCTCTCCCCCCTTCCCACTTCTCTGCAGGAATGAGGAGCCCCACCCGGGAACAGAGCTGAAAGGCCCAGCTTGACGGGGGACAGCCCGGAAAGTGCCTGACTGCAGCTGGGCTGCCCAGGTGTCCATTGCAATCCAGGCTGCCTTTGAAGAGGAGAGAGTGCGGAGAAGAGCAGGTCCCTCTTCAGCCGTGGCTTGAGTGCAGCATGCGCTCCTCTTCCTCCAGCCCCTCCCCCCCAGCTCCAGCCACGACTGACCTGCACCGGTGCCCATTCTTGGCTTGGCTCTTGCAGGCAGAAGGGATGGACGGGCCGTGATCTCCCAGCCTTGCATCCGGGACCTTCTGCTCTCCAGGAAAACCCTGGACTGGCCCAGTGGGGTTGGGACTTCTCTGCCAGCTCTTTATCAAGCAATAACGCCTTATCAGGAATGCGGCTGCTGCTACGAGGGAAGGTTTGGGGAGGGGAGCATCGGCAGCTGGTCTCCCGAAGGACAGGATTTCTTGCCACTCTTGGGAGGAAGGAAGGCCAGGGGAGGGACTTAGGTCAGCCAGCATCACCCCTGGGGACAAAAGTGACCTTGCAAGGAAGGAGGTCCCGGAGCGTTTCTGGGGTGGGGTCTCTGGAGACTTCCCTTTCACGTAGAGTTTGATTTCTCCTTTGGTTCGTTTAATTTTGTAAAAATTTTAATAGAAGCAAGAACTGCAACACTTTGCACTTTGGATCTCATGCCAACCTTGAAAGTTGGAAGAGACATTTGCGGAAGCCATGCCAGTATGGCCTGGCAATGCCTGAGGAGCATGAGCCGTGCCCTAGACGAGATGTGGACTCTAGGGCAGCCCAAAAGGCTCCGTGGGGTGGGGCAGCCTCCCTCCGTCCCCCAGCTCAACAATCAGCTGCTGCAGAATCGAGACTGTGAATTTGGCCCTGAGCCGTTGGATGGAATGGGCTCCTTTTGCCCCTCCTGGTGTTCCCAGGCCCCGTGCAGCCACCAGATCTTCGCCAAACCTCAGTGGGACTTGCCGATGCTCATCAGTGGCATATGAAGAGGGGTGGGGGTGGGGGTGGGGATCAGATACTTTGGAATCGAAATCTTTTCTGGAGCAGGTGAAGAAAACTGGTTTAAATCTGGCACAGTTACAGTCACCCACCCCCAAACATAACAGTGCTCTTTGTTTTTAGAAGAAACTCAACCGTGTCTCTGTGGTCCCATGTCTTCTGCAAATTAAAGGGTTGGCCAGAAGCCTTTGAGGAGCAAGGCCAGCCCACTTTCCTCCCACTGTGTGAGCTGTGTGGTTTGTGGTCAGGGAACTGGCGAGCGGAGGCCGTATCCTGGCTGTCATTTACTGGGGTGAAAATTAATTTTTGGACTGCTTTTTCAGTGAGGGGTTCTAAAAATGTGTGTTTTTACACCAAGCATTCAAATCTGCTGTTATTTTTGCAATTGCACAAGATTTAGCTTGATATGGTATAAATCCACCTCTGATCATACAAAAGTATTTTGTAACCCAAATACTATTAACTTTATCTTCTCAAAATTACACTTTGTGCTAGAAAAGTTAAGGATTTTTTCTGCATGAATCTTACCTATAGCTAAGCAAAAAAAGTAATCCATGCAATCACAAACTAACAGAAAGGAATTATCTGAGTTACAAAAATTTTTAAGTGAGTTTCATCCAGCCGTGTTTTGATCCATTTGACCTCAGCCACTGACTTGCTTCTTAGCCTCTGATGTAACCCTGGTGCTTCTCCTGTGTCTGCCCTCTGCTTGCTGCCTCTCTGACCTGTTACCACATCCCTCTGTTGATTGGGTGTGACGGGGCCACTGTGGCACTTGAATTGGTTTAGCTCTGTAAACTGTTGTCAGTTTGCACATCATATTCACCTTCAGACCAACCGATCGGCTCCAGCAGAGTGGATCCCCTGGCGTTGATTAAAGGCGTTTTTCTTGCCCGTTCAGAAAAATCTCCCATCGCGCTGGCGTCTGCACCCCTCAAATCAATGATCTTTTGCACACCAGCTTTCCTCTCTTGGATGTCATCTGAACACAAGAGTGCCTGAATTATCACTTCACTGAAAGAGAACCATACCGAGCGCTGAACGGTTGGCAAAACAGCAGCTACTACAGCCGCCATTTGCAATCTGACTTGCTGCAGCTGGAACAACATAGGACACAGGCCGCCTTCACTCCAGGAACGTTTTACTTCAATGTTGAATCAGCAACAACTTATTCCACTACCTGTCATGATCCCGACTAACGAACCCAAGCAAATCAGAACTCTGAGGCTGAGGACTTCCTCCAAGGGCTTCTTTATTGGGTACATCATTGGCACGATCAAATGGAAACGGTTTCAGTGTAATTACAACAGGAAATAACTCTCCCCAGAAGTCACAGGTCATGGCCAATTGGGTAAATTGGTGGGCTCTCCAGGCACCCCTCCTCATCTCTATTCACCACCTGTAGAGATGACTTTGGTTCCCAAGAGAAAGTTCTGTGTTTTGTCTAGCAATGTATTTTGTTTTCCTCCCCCCCCCTCCCCCATGTGGCAACTGAGTAGTAGGAAAAATAGCTTCTGCCAGGTTGGATTCGAAGTTGGCACTACCATTCTTACGTTTTAGAGAGTTTTGCATTTAAAGCCATGTTTTGAAACCCATAATCGAAAAAAGCCTATTTTCAGTTCAGTTCTATTTTCAACCAGTGTGGTTTATGGGACCAATTTTCAGAAGAGCCAGATCTGTGGTAAGTTCTCCCGTCGTCGTTATTGCCTGTGTGATCCTATGCGCGTGCACTCAAATCAGTAGAGAGATCCTTTCCAACACTCGCTCAGTGAAACGAGAGGCTCACCAGTTGAAACTGATGAATGAAGGATCAGTGTCAAGTCCTGTTGCCAGTTTTACCAGCCCATTTGCTGTTGCACAAGGTCTTCCCATCCAATTTTGGGCTTGTCATAGAGGTAACTCCTTGCTGTGGAGGGCACACCAGCAACCAGATCAACTTCCGGTCAGCTTGACCTCTGTCCAGGGCATGGCGCCCCCTTCACAGGCAGTATTTAACATTTGTAGAATCTCCCCCAGTGGCCTTCAAGCTTTTGTCAATGCCTGCCTTCTTCATGAAATGCGCCAGAATATCTGCCATCACTTGAGCAGGTTTTCCTAGTTTTGAGCCTTTTATCTGGACTGAAATGATAAAAATTCCACCCAGCTCAACGCACACAGAATAATCCTCTTCTTCGATGGTCCTGGGGAATTGCTGGTCTGAATTGTTTGCTTTCAGCATAACTCTAGTTGCATCTATACAGCCATAGGAGAAGATGCATTCTATTTTGCCTTCTTACAGAGCTTATCAAATTGATCCAAGGAACTTCATAATTTTTTCCTGGCCTCTTGACTTTATTGTGGTCAACTGCAAGTCTCTGGTCTTCCCCGGTGATGAAGCCAGCATCTATGAAAGCGGCTGTGGCAATGGCAGTAGACCAACACGGTGTCTTATGCTGTCTACTGATCAAGCATATGGATGTGGCAACATTTGATATTTCTAACCTATTGTATTCTGTCTTTTCTTTTGGAATTGAAGGCACTTGTGTTTGGTCTGAGACCTCTTCGTAACTTCCATCACATTCCTCTTCTTTGGTCATCTGTCCATTTTCATCGTAACAGATATTTCATTTGTCAGTATCAAAATGTCTGGAATACTCTGCTTATATGGCTCATCATCTTGCTGCTTTTGCCGTGCTGTTTCTGCTTGGGCCCATCTGGCAAACTAATCTAGTGTGATTCAATCTTGTCTCTCTGACCTTTAACGAAAGCCAAGTTCCTTTGTCTCAAGGCTGGTACAGTTAATGGGAGCTTTTTTGCAGCAAGCAGGGCAGCCAAATTCAGAATACAGAACAATTTGGCACTTGCAGCTGAGGATGTCAAACATTTTGTCAAGTTTCACAGTGAAAGTCTCTTTGACATCTAGCTTTCCTCTACCAAGAGTTATGTTTTTGGCTTGATCCCAGCTCTCTTGGATCTTGTTGAAGAGTGTCACCTAATACCTGAGGATATTAGGAGCCAGATCCTTCTCTAAACCGTCCTGGAGAAATTCCAACACCTGCGGCGCTGAAGCAGAGGCTGGGTCTACCTGGGCTGCCCTGCACCAGCTTATGAAGGAACTCCAGGTCGCATCATAAATGCTTGTGGCCGACTTCCATCGTGAAGCTTCGATGGTCCTGAACACCCTGGTTGAGAACTGGGCCTCCCTCAATTGCTCCCAGTCAAGTGCCAAGCAGTTATCTGGAGCCATTCCGGATCTGGATGCTCCAGACTCCCCTGGTACAGAGCTACTATCCCCCCCTGGGAATCCTCCAATGAAGTTGGACCGAGAGGCCCACCAGGTCCAGGAACCATGGCCGTTGTGGCCAATGGGGCGTTACCAGAACCAATTCTGCCCCCTCTATCACTAGCTTCCGCAGAACCCCGGAAAGGAGAGGAAGGGGGGAAAAGGCATAAAGTCCAGGCGGTCATCTGCAGCGAAGGGCCTCGACATCATCTGCTCCCCGAACCGGGAACCGCGAGATGAATCTCGGAACTTGGGCGTTCGACGGGGTGGCAGAGATCCACAGTCGGCCAATCGAACTTCTGACAGATCTGCTCGAATATGCTGGGATGTAACTGCCACTTCCCGGGTCCACCGTCCCTGCTGAGCCAATCCGCCTGCCTGTTGTCCACCCCGGAGATGTGTTCCACCCGAATTGATAGGAGGTTCCGTTCCTCCCAGTTGCCCAGCCAGATTGCTTTGTTGTGTAGTGCCAATGAGTGCATACCTCCCTGCTTGTTTACATGGGCCTTGGCCGCCATGTTGTCCGTCAAAACCAGAATGTGCTGACCGACCGCCGCTTCCTTGAAGTACCGAAGCACCAGATGAATTGCCCTGAGCTTCAGCCAGTTGATGTTCATCCTCAAATCCGTGAGGGTCCATCTTCCCTGCGCTATCTGGGACTGCAGATGTGCCCCCCATCTGAACAGAATCGCGGTCTGTGGTCAGGACCAACCTGTCCAGCTCCCTGAAGAGGGAACCCTTGGTCAGAGCTGAGGACGTCAACCAATGGAAGGAGAGAAACACCTGGGGTGGGACCAGAACCTTGAAGATGGCATTGCATGTCCTGTCTCTCTGGTGAGGAGATGAACTTGCCCAGGAGCCTGGAGAGAAGGACTACGGGAACAGAACATGTCTTGTGTATTTCCCGGATCAACTCCAAAATACTGTCCTTACGCTCCTGTGACAAAAACACCTCACACTCCATCGAGTCAATGATTGCCCCTAAATGCTGGAGTCTAGTGCTAGGGGTCAGATAGCTCTTATCTTGATTAATTGAGAACCTCAGGGTGCGCAAGGTGTCAATGGTGAGATTCAAATCCCTCTTAGCTCGGCCTGCTGAACTGGCCAGGACAAGGATATCATCAAGATAACAATGTAGCCGGACAGGGAAGGATCTAAGGTGACCTGCAGCTACGGCTAAAACTTTGGTGAAGGTTCGAGGGGCAGATGTCAAACCAAATGGGAGGGCCCTGTATTGGTAGTGCTCTCCCCCATAGGTGCATCTGAGAAATTTATGATGGGCCAGAGCGATCATATGAAGGTAGGCCTCCGTGAGGTCAATGGAGGCTAAAAACTCACCCTGCCTGATGCCCTCCAAAATGGACTTGAGAGAAGCCATCTTAAACTTTTGGTATAGCAGTTTGGGATTTAACCATTTAAAATCTAGGATGGCCCTCCACCCCCCCGGAACTCTTGGGAACTAGAAACAGGTTGGAATAAAAAGCTAGACCCTTCTCTGTTTCCGGAACCAATTCTACTGCCCTGATGCCAAGCAAGTGTCGAATGGCCTTAGGCATACGGGAACGTTTCTCTGGATTCCTCGAGGAAGGGAAGAGACAGGACCGATTCGGGGGTTGGGAACGAAACTCTTAACAGTAACCCAAACTCAATTGTGTGAAGAACCCAAGCGTCAGGAGTCATGTGCTTCCAGTGATGCGCAAACAAGGTAAGGCGGCTGCCTATGGGGTGATCCGACCCTGAATCACTTATTTCTGCGGAAGGGACACCCTCCCCCCCCCCCCGAAAGGGATGTCTACTGGATTGTTGATACCTGTATCTGTCCCTAGAAAGATTCCTATCCCCCTGCCTCTGGGATATCTGGGAGCAGAGTACCTCGACTGTTGGAAATCCTGTTCAGGGGGTCAATATGAAGACCTCCTGGGGCAGGGCGTGGGGCGTTGGTCATGGAGGGGGAGACCTTGTGCTTATTCTTATCCTTGATCAGGATAAGGACCAGGGATGCACCAAACAGCTTGTCTCCCATGTATTCCGCCCCCGCCAAGTGCCACTTTGCCCGTGATTCTGCCTGTCAGTTGTGCAGCCGGAGGAGTTGCCTGGAAGCTACCGGGGAGAATAGGGCCCTGGAAGAATACTTGACTGCATCCAGCGTGGCATCATCTGAAAACTGAGTGGCTGCTGCCATCAGCTTCTTGATGTCCTGCAGCAGCCGCACGTCAGAAGCGGGGGTTCTATCATGAAGCTGCTCCAGCCACAGCGCAGAGGATGTGTTAAAAAAGGAAGCGGCAGCCGCTGCCCTGATTGCCCACGTTACGGCCTGAAAGGTCTTGCGCAGGACGATTTCCGCTTTCTTATCCTCTGCTTTGAGACAGTAAGAAATGTCACCGGTAACCACCGCAGAGGTGGAAGCCAGGCCAGCCACTGGGACATCTATGGATGGAACCTGCAGTGCTTGAGCAAGATTAAGATGATAAAATCTGCGATCATTACTGCCTGGGGGGGGGGGGGGCAGGTGCCGGGTTTTGCCCATTGAGTTTTGAGCACCTCCATAAATAGATCAGGTGTAGGAATCGCCTCTTTTTCCACTTGTGGTTTATAAAAGGGACCCTTCTTGGTCCCCCCCCCCCCCGCACTGGAGGTAGGCGTAGCTGTTTGAGGGGGAGCTGGAGTAGAATCCAGGTCTGCAGTACCTCTGGCCTTGCAAAGAATGGAACCAAAGAAGGCGGGCGGAAACAAGCCTGTAATAGGAGGAGCCTCAGGAACCTGGGAATCCTCGTCCTCAGAGAATGCTACATCCTTCTGCCCGTCCTCTTCTAACCCCGACCCCTCACTATCTATGGAGGGGGAATCCGATCTGCGTCTCTAGATGTAGAAGATTGGGGTTGATCTGGATGACCTCGTGGGGTCCCGTGGGGAGACTTTTTTTCTAGAGGATTGAAATTGATGCTATATACCTGATGAGATGCCCTGAGCAATGGCCCTGAGCAATGGCCCAGGCAATCACATTTTGAAAATCCTCAGAAAGCTCTGGGTAAGCTTGAGAGAGGCTGGGAGGCTCAGCGGACTGAGGAGCCAAGCATGGCCTGGAAGAATCCGTTGTTTTGTAGCCAAAGGGGTCTCCTCGATGTCCTGAGGACTGGGCCGGAGACAGAGGCGGGGATAAAGGGATAACCTCCCTCTCTGAACTACGGGAAGATTCTGGGGAGCCCGGTCGCACCCTTAGCGGTGGTAATGGTCGAGGAGGAGAACGTGAGACCTCCTCCCTAAGCCTTCTGTTTGACGCCCTGGTAATGCGTAGCTCTTTGCTAGGAACTCTCCTCCTAGCAGATTTAGAGGTGGCCTTCTTAGAGGTGGGTCACCCCCTCGGTACAGGGGTTGCGCTCCGGACGGGCTCCTCTCTTGGATCCGAAACCCCTGGTGATCTAGGGGCAGCTGCCTCCCCACTCCTTGGCAGCCTCCGCCGTCGCTTTTACTTACAGATATTGCCTTCCCACCGCCACTCTATTCCAACCGGCTCAGCTCCTGCGTACGGTCCGAAGCTCCTTCGGACTTGTGCAATCTGCTGCCTCACCGCCGATCCATGGGTCGAATAAGCCGGCTCACCACCGATCGAAAGGTCCTCCCCGGATTACCGGCAAAGCACAGGCCTTCTGGGCGCTTGCGGCAGCTGGAAACGAGCACGCCGATCCTTGCACCCCTCCACATGCGTCCCAATATGGCCTCCTCCTCACAAAATGGCGACCCCTGACCATGCGGTCCGATGCTGAGCCGGCTCCGACTGAGCTGCTTGCCCCGAGTACCTAGGGCTGATCTGCGAGCCCTACCAATGGGCTTAGGGGTCACACTGTGCTGCGCTCTCCAGCGCGCCACCTGGAGCCTCGCCTTTAACTGGCCAGCGGTTCGGGAATTCCCTGAATGCAACAAGCCTGGCTTGTGGATAAAACAAAAACTTTAGACAATACAGAGATGCAAGGAGGAATCACAGATGGAAGAATACAAGGTATAAAGAATCAAAACTTCTGAGACTAAATGGAGAGTCAAAAAGTTACACTTTCTGGGCCAAAGACTGAGGTTAATCTGGGGAGTCACGAGGACGAAGCAGAGGGAGTGGCTTCAAATTTACCTCAGTCTCCGGGCAAATGGGCCGTGTTAATACCCACATGTGACTCCTCCCACGCCTTGCTTGGAGACCTTGCCTGTTATTCCGGTTATTGTTTGGCTTCCCACTTTAGTATTCCAATTCCCCATGATGATAAGGAGATCATTTCTAGTGTTAATTCTAGAATGTGTTGTAGAGCTTCATAGAACCGCTCAACTTCCTCCTCTTCAGCACCAGTGGTTGAGGCATAGACCTGGGACTACTGTGATGTTGAATGGTTTGCCTTGGATTCGAACGGAGGTCATTCTGTCATTTTGGGGATTGTGTCCCAGTACTGCTTTTCCGGCTCTTTTAATGACTATGCAGTCTACTCCTAGGGATTCTTGCCCTCAGTAGTATACCTGATAGTCATCTGAATTAAATCCACTCATTCCTGTCCATTTTAGTTCACTGATTCCTAAGTTGTCGATGTTCAGTCTTGTCATCTTGTTTGACCATGTCCAGCTTGCCTTAATTCATGGATCTTACATTCCAGGTTCCTATAATCTTTACCGCATCGGACTTTCCTTTCACCACCAGATACCTCCACAGCTGAGTGTCCTTTCAGCTTTGGCCCAACTGCTTCTCTCTTTCTGGCGCTGCTACTACTACTACTACTAGCCCTCTGCTCTTCCCCAGTAGTATACTGGATACTGTCCGACCTGAGGGGCTCATCATCTTTTTGCCTTTTGGTGCTGTCCAGGGGTTTTTCCAAGGTGGCGCAGTGGTTAAATGCAGCACTGCAGGCTACTGCTAGATCAGGAGGTCAGCGGTTCAAATCTCACCGGCTCAGGGTTGACTCAGCCTTCCATCCTTCCGAGGTGGGTAAAATGAGGACCC